TCCTCCTTCAGGTCCCATGGAGAGTCACAGACCAGAGTCAGAGAACACAACCGCACTGTCGCTGTTTAACAAAGACGGGAGTCGTTATTAGCGGTTTCAAATAATCTCAACATGTCCTGTAACACTTTAATATATCTTATTTTTTAAATGGATAAGATGAATGACAAACTATTCAGCAGATGCAGTAGTTTTTTTGTGTGAAATAAAAATAATCAATCGATAATTTATGCTTTTTTCTCTACAGGTTTACTGGTTCACTGGTACTCAATGATCCTGTCAGATTTTGAGAGGAAAATACAAAACAAATTACCTGGTATGTGGTGCACTGTGTCTTCATGAGTTATGAACCACACCCGAAAGCAGGAGTCAGAACCACATTGTTGTTCTGTTTTAAAGGTACACAAACAGGGAGTAAAAAATATACACATACAGCATATATAAATATATAATTTTAAACCAACCTTTTACGGAAGAGAACAGACGGTTGAAGAGTGTCACGACCTCATCATCCCATTGNNNNAGATGACAGTCATTAAAAACTAACCAGTGGCCTTCACTGGCTGCTTTCTTTAGTGCAGAGACACACGTTTCTCCATCAAACAAAACCCCAAAAGAAATAAACCTGACCTGAAAAAATAAAGTATAAATAATTGCATTGATTCATTAGAAAAGACTGATGTCTGCTATGAATATGACAAATGTGTCAATGTTGGTAACATTTGTTATTGAAAAAGTTTTATCTAAACTTTGGGAAACACTACATACTGTACGTTACCTTCTGCTTTCCACCCGTTGCTGCAGGTACAGAGTCTGCCAGTTTGGTAATGAGCTGCAGAGGCTGAGTACTTGTCAACTTGTCTCCTCCAGAACTTGGCAAGGTAAGAATAATGGGTCCTTCATGTTTGGCCATGTATCCTAAGAGGGAGTGTGGGTTCCCGGTGTGAGGGGCCTCAGATCTTTTTGCCTCCACAGGCAGACAGAGGTGGCAGCCAGCAATCACATCAGCCAGCTCCCCGAGGCAGCTGGGGTTCATGATTCTCCAAAGGAGGGCTCTTTGTAGCAAGGAGAGATGGGAGTGAGAGCGACAGGGAACGGCCCCCACCAGAGCGGAAGAGGGAGAGTGCATGTACTCCTGCCACTGAACTGAGGATGAGGAAAGTGAAGCGACGAGGCCCCTGAATGACGGGATGTTCTCTAGACAGAGCAGCTCTGAGTGGATATGAGTGGGTATCCAGCTGGGCACGGAGGCACAGGATTGTGCGTCATGTTTTGCAGGTGCTTCTATGTCTTGAAGGCCCCTGATGAAGGCCGCTGCTTCACCCTCAGAGCAGAGGCGGTCGTGCCGCAGCACAGCCACAGACACCAACAGCTTTAAAACAGCAAAATGGCTCTTGAACAGGAGGGGCCTGTAGTGACGCAGCAGCTGAGGCACCATCTTGTTTGTAACCTGGGATACTATGCCCACTGGGACCTTTCCAGTGATGAACGACACTAACGGCCTTCCCTTAACAGTCACAGTGTTTTGTATGAATTTAATGAAGCCACGAAGAGGGAAGCAGTAAACAGGGGAGAGACGGGAAACATCCTGCAGAGTCTGGTATAGGGCAGCAGCCAGTGACACCAGCTGCTGGAGGCCGGCCACTAGATCCTTGTGATACTTTAGCTCCTCGTTCACCTTCTCAGCCTCATCCTGCAGCCTTTTCATTGCTTCTTGAAAAACAGAAACGGTGGAACGGAACTCACAGAGCTCTAACTCTGAGTGTTTGGACTGCAAAATGAAGCCAATCAGAGCAGCCTGAAAGAATAGATAAAAAGGGCAAGGCATGTTGGAAAAATTATAATGTCAGAGTGAAATTATTTCTGACTCCAAGCGGTGGGATGCTACCTCCTCGGTGGCCAGTCTCTCCTGCAGCTCACGCTTGTCATTCTGCAGCCGTTTGTGATGAATCAGCAGCTCTTTGCACTCAGATTGCAGCAGCTGTGTCAGCATCAGCTCCTGGATCTCATCTGAGCTGAGAGAAAGGTCAACTACACGGACGTGAGCCAAAACAGATGGATGGAGTGCTGAGAAAAAGGAAATAAAAGAGTAACAAACTTTAATGTCATCAATGTCTATTTGTCACTTTGGTGAAATTTTTTTTTATACCAGCTTAAGTGTGAAAATCCTCAAGAGGTAAACAACAACTTCTCTTGACACCAAAATGATACACTGAATAATTCTGGAGACATTAGCAGTGTTTCTGTTTAAACCTACCCTTATTTAGAATTCTCACAGACAGGTTGGTGCTTAGAAAGAGGCGAAATTTGGGGTGGGCTGGCAGAGAATGTTTCTGTGACCCTGGAAGGCAACATCGAGCAGGTGGAGAAAGTCTGTGCAGAAATTGTGAACTGGGGATTGCACGTTCCACATGAGTTACCAGGACTTTTAAACCTGGAAATGTATTAAACAAATTAAGTTAATGTTCATGAAGGAAATAATATTTTTTAAATATATATGTATATCATTAATGTAAAATTTCATCACTCACCACATTGAGCAGCTCCATCCAGTTTATCCAACAGCTGAGAGTCATCAGCGCAAATCACCAAATCATACTCAGTGTAATACTTGTCTTTCTCTCCTGCAGAAAACACATTTTTGTTGTTCAGTACAAAACTACACTATAACACGTATTTAAAAGGGTTTAAAATACAAAAAGAACCCGCCTGTAATGCACCAACTCTGAGATTGTATGTCTCGATATTGTTGCGTATCTGCCAGCAGAGGGCAGCATTGAGCCGGGACATTTCTGTAACCCCACAACAGCAGCTGAACCACGAGTCTGGCAGTGTTTTGGAGATGCCAGTCTTTCTGGACTAACGCTCTACCCACAGGTTCCTGCAGCTCCTTAGATACAGAGATGGGGAAACCAAGACGGAGCAGAGGAGGTGGAGAGTCATGCTGTGTGAGAAGGGAGGATCTGGGGTCCTGTGGATTTATGTCGATGTTTCCCGTCCGACATAATTCTCTCCACTTGGTTATTAATTCTGTGCGTACACCAGAGGCAAAGGGGCCTAAATACGCAATGATTGCAGCCAAAATGACAGCATCTCCTGGTAGATTCTGGTGGTGTAGCTTCACCTCCTAAAGGTTTTGTGAAAAATTTAGAAATAAATTAAAGAATATTTCTGGAGGCATATACAGGTAAATGTTGCAGTTTGTACCTGAACAGCAGCTCTCCACTCTGTTTCTTGTATCTCCAACTGTTCTGCAGTTAAAGTTGCTTCCCGGTCTACATCCTCGGCTTTGTGAAGTTCCATCAAATATTGTTTTAAATCTTTCTGTACAAATCGAAGCTGAAGCTTTAAATCCCGCAGACGTCGGTGTGCGTCCGCCCTGTGCTGCTTGGCCAAGCACAGCCGACCTCTGGCTTCTTTTACCTGCTGCTCTAACTGCTGCTTGATCAATAGCTGCTGTTGCACAGAGCAGCACTCGTACACAGCCTGCACCCATCGACACAGGGACTCACAGGCCTTGCTCACTTCCCGAACAGACTCTGGCACAAACAGGGGACTCTTGACCAAGAGGCTGAGCTGCTGAAGCTGCTCATCAGTCAGGCTGAAGCGGTCAAAAAACTCCAGTTCCTGGTAAGAAAAAAATAATATATTTTACTGCCACAGAACAGCCACTGATTACACTTTTTAAATAAATCTTTATCAATGATTATATTTTAATAAAAATATGCATTCTAAACATATATAAATTTAAATAAAAATATATTTTTTAAAAAACATAAAAACAAAAAGGGCTGTTTTACTTGAAAAAAGTTCGACTGTCCCAGGAGCTGTTTGGCACTCTCCCAGCCCAGTGGACGATCAAACAGCAAACAAACAGAATCCATCACTGTCACCACTCTGTCAGGAGGATCTCTGTAGTGTCGCACCTCCTCCAGGTCAGAAGGATTCAGACACTTGAGTATTTCAACAGCTGATAGAAACACAGACCTAACCTGGACAAAATGTGAATGTCAGTTTCCTCTTTGATAAAATTGTGTGACATGGTCCATTGATAAGATGAAAAACCTGACATATCAATTCAACAGTGGAAAAACTATTTACCTCTCCTTCAAGCTGTTCTTTCTGCATTTCCAGTTCTTTTATTCGGTTTATCACCATTGTACATTGCTTTTGTGTTTCATCAAGTTTCCTTCTCTGGTTATCTGCTGCTCTGAGAAGACCTTCCTCACACTGCACAGAAAGGAAATGGCAAAATGGGTGGATATTATATTTACAATATTAATAAAACCTAGTAAGATATGGATGATACAGATAATCGTGTATGTCGACACCATCACCTTCTTGTAAGGACAGGGAAGAATAATAAAAAATGTGTACTGTTCATTGTCCTGTTCAGTGTTGAGAGTGTGGTTTGATTTCAGGAATATAAAGCAGCTAAGCTACATGTATTGCCTACAAGGCCTTTTGAATCCTTTTTGGACAGAGGTGACAAATAACCCTGACTGGAAAAAGAAATTGCAGCAGTCAATACTGCAGCAATGTTATACAAAATATTGATCCCACTTGTCTCACATATGATTACTTGTCGTGTACTACCTGCTGGGTCTTGGCCACCTTCATTTTCAGTCTCTCAATGTGTTGCTTGTTCTGCAGGGCCCCATTGTTCAAAGAGTCCAAAACAGAAACAAGTGAAGCAACTCTAAATAGGGAAGATTAGTAAAAAGGGTGACAGAATAGAAGTATTGGTCAGTTTTTTGTTTGTTTTTTTGTTTGTTAGTGTTTGTCTTGTCTTAAATGAAGCGTTTACACCTTTAACTGCACTACAACGGAGCAACAGACACAAAAGGACATTAAATAATAAAGATAAAGGAGGAGAACAATTTGAACTGAAAAGCCTGAGTGTAACTAATTACCTGTCTGCTCTTTCCTGATATTGAGTTTTTAAGTGGTTGAAGACAAAATCAAAGTGAGCCAGGAACTCCACGTAGGTTTGAGGACTGAAAGGCTGGGCTTGAAGAAGGACAGAAGCGTAGCGACATGCAGACTGATGGATTCCTGCCGTGGTCACAGACAGACATTCCACTAATGATTCCCTCTCCACTGAGTTAAAAAAGGCAAAGGCAAACATTGGTCAGTGCAGCCTTAGCCTTAGCCTTGGACATTTATTACTCTGGAGAAATAACTCACAATCGTTGACTCTGTTCTTCAAGCGCTGAGCAGCAACTTCCATTAAAGACCGGCTGGACCACGGTCGATACAGCTCAATACAGCAGCCCAGCTGCAGGGCCTTCAATAGTTGTCTCTGGGTCAAGTAAAATATAATCTTTTACATGTCTTTAAAAAAAAAAAGTTCAGCTTTGTAAGGACACTTTTCACAAAGTGTACATGAAGAGAACAGACAAATAATGACTGTGACACTTCAGGAAAAGAGAGTCCAGAATTAGCGTTTGGTAAATTTGTCCAGCTCAGTGTCCTACTAGAACTTACGGAGAAGTTTAGGATAAAAAAGTCCTACAGGATGATTGCGCTATTGTGATATATAGATACAAGTATAAAGAAAATACTTACATTGTTGTCATTTTCATTGTTTGATTGATTAGACATCAAAAGGAAGATGTGGACATTTTTATGGACCTGGTTTAAGAACCTGAAATATAGACAACAGGTTCAATTTACCAAAGTGAGAACTTTTTTTTTCCTTTTTAAGGAGTTTTTAAGGAGTTTTTAAAATGTCTTCTTACTTGTCAAGCATCCAACTGTCCATTCTGTATCTGGTTGACATTTCCACAGCTGTCACTCTGGAAACAAGGTTGTTCAGCTCCTCCTCTGTGTAAACTGCTGGGTATGTCCTGCGGGCCATTGCTACCAAAAGCTCCTCTCTAACACACTCACTTATTTCTTCGTGGGCCAGTATGATGACCTTAACTCCGTCCACTCTGGTTCGATTCCCGGCCTCTTTCAAAATTTCGTGCAGCTCGTTCTCATTGCCCGGATGTACCTCAATCAACTGGTGGCCTGTGATCAAAGCGGCCAAACGGACAGTTGTCTTTCGACCGGTGCCTACTTCAGAGCTCGTAAGCACTCCGTGTCCTCCTGGAACGAGCAGCGCTCTTTGTATATGTAACAGTTGTTTGACTCTATCTGTATGCAGTACGTATCTGGATATGACATCACAATCATTAACGATGTCCGATCCCTGGTTTCTGTCTAGGAGAACTGACAATTTCTGCAGCAGAACATTAGGGTCTTGTTCCACATAACAAGAGTCAAATTTGAATTTGTGCTGCTGTTCAAGAAAACCGTCAGGTTCAAGGAGCTCAGGTCCATATACAAGAGTCAACATTATTGTTTCAATGTGTTGAAGAGTCTGAGGCTGTACGGGTCCAGTGTTTAGATTTTTGTCATCTGAAGTGTTATTTTTAGCCACTGGGGACGCTTCCACAGATGCATCTTTTTTCATTGGATCGGTAGATTCTGTATCTTCGTGTGTTTGTTCACAGGTGTCTTTGGTGTCTGTGGGTGGATGAGACTTTGTGACAGCTGGTGGAACATCCACTGGAACATTTTCATTGTGCAGTTTATCCAATCCAATTCCAAAATGTTCTGTGGCAACTTTGGCTACGAGTGACACGAGACGTGTGCGTTCTTTCTCTGACCATAACCTGTCAGCAAAGGTACGCATGCACTCGTGCATCCAGAGATAAGCTACTGAAGCTGATGTTTCTGTGAGGCCCTGAGGACGTCCAGAGAGGGCGCTCTCTCTTTGTCTTGTCCACGTGGCTCTGTTGGTAGGCTGCCACAGGTACATGCCTTCAAAAACCTTCTGTATGTCATGCTGAGAGAACATCAAATGTGGCCTCGCTGCGGTTGGTTGAAACTGCTCACTTACAGCATGACATAATGTCTTAGTTGCTGTGATAATACAACGGGTCATGTCCTCAGTGCTTTGTTGAAGCTCCGAACCTTCCAGCCACGAATGAAATCTCTGAGAATGGAGAGAGAATATCGTCTCCGTAGATCGACTTGGCAGCACAAAGACGGAGAACAGCTGCGACAGTCGAGGTGATAAGACGTTACGGCCACATCCTGAGACACAGTAGGTAGCCAGGTAGCTGATTTGGGCAGAATTGAGCAACTCAAAGTGGTTGTTAATAAATGTTAAAATCCCTCCCGTTGACATGCTCTGCCGTAGGGATTCTAGAGCAGTTGATTTCTTCCCAAAGGAATCTATCAAAAGCAGAAAAAGAAAACAATGTTAAATAAATGTTCAGACAGACTTCTCTTGTGTGTTTCTAACTCACCACAGGGGGCTTCATGCAAATCATCCACAAACAGCAGCAGTCTGGACTTATCGGCTACAGAACCTGCATCATCTTTACAGAGCCTCTGGCTGTCGAAGTTTTTAAGAATAACAAGAAACTCTCTGTAGCTCAGGAGTGGACTCGCGGTTAGACCAATGTGCGGCCGATCAAAACGTAGCAAAGACTGGCACAGGTTGGTTTTCCCAGTGGCACATTCACCTGCCAGCAGCACAGGCTGATTTGCCTCCAACATGATGTTGAGGAGATAGGAATACTTCCTATACTGCAAGAACCCATTAAAGAGATCGTCAGTTGAATATGCAAATATGTCAAATATATATGGTATACCTATGCTGAACAATGTTGTGGTCAAACCTCTGATGACGGTGTGTTTTTGGGAAACATCTTAACGTTGATACCGAAAAAGTGTTCGAACACACTCTCTTCCTCTGGTATCACAATTTTGTATCGACAACAAAGCAGCACTTGGCGGACCAACAGGTCAAACTGTGGCCAGTGGCTAAATAAAAAAACAAAATATGAATTGGTTAGTGATAAATGAATCATTTGATGCAGTAATATCTTTGATTTTGTTGTGGTTCTTTCTGTAAATGTAGTTGTTTCATTGATGGTAGCACAATAATACAGTTCCTACCTAGGATGCAGATGTCCGCCGAATCCCCAGATATAAGCCAAGAGAAAAATGTTTCTGGCAAGCAGCTTTCCATCGTGTAGACTTACATCTAGCACAGAAATCAAAAAGTACAACATGTTCAGTAATATATAATGATAAGATCCCCGGTAGAGAAATGCCATAAATAAAGAATAATTCTTATACAATGTACCTCCTCTGGTGTCTTGTCTTGCCTCAGTGTTTTCTAATTCTTTCTGGAAATACTGTAGGAGGGCAGATAAGAGCCGCACAAATGATAGGATTTCTTGCAGGCCACGTGTGGGGCTGTTAGAATATTTTCCTTCTCCGGAGACCGCAGAGATCAAAGCCTTCTGCCTAAGCAGACTTAAAGTTTGGGAGAAAAGATCTTCAGCGAGACGATTCCACACTTTCAAGGTATCCTGATCCAGTTTGAAGATGCGGGAAAGAGCAGTCACTTCCTTCTTCCACACAGATTTCCACACGTCAGCCCCTACAAAATTTACGAGGCTGCAGCGACTCAGTGTAGAGGGACTTACATCGCTTAGGTCTGTCATTTCAAAAAGTACTTTCAGGTGTAATTTTGATGGCACAAGTTTTTCCCCAGACGGTAGGGAAAAACAAGGGTCCTTGGCATCACATAGTGTTGTTAAATAGTCCAACCAGCTGGGCTGCCCGACAGGATCTCCATCCATTACCAGCCATTTGGCTACAGGTTTATGATCACTTTTCTTCTGCATGTTCCACCCACGGGACACTGTACACACATCTAACTTTCTTAATAATTTTGTAACAGCTCCATCTTGCCATCCTCGTTTCGCACAGAAGAAGCCAAATAAATCATCACGGGACATGGCATTAGGAAATAAAACCACAGTGTTGACCAAGGTCTGTGAATCCATCACGTGTTCTGATTTCGTGGCAGCCAGGCTACTGAGAGCTCCTGCTAAAGAAGAATAACTAGTTGTCTTCCCACTACCTGAGGGGCCTATAAGCAGAACTGTCTGAGAAAATTGAATTGTCTGGTGGAGGGTGAGCGTGCTGCAAATTATTTGTGGATCGGGGTAAAATCCCCTCAGTTGCAGTTCACGTGTTACAGCATCTCTAAGCTGATTATCTTGGTGCTGGGAAAGAGGAAACTGAGAAACGAGTGGGAATGAATCTTTTAAAATCACGTAGAACTGTGAGGCTTTCTTCTGGTCATACATGGCAGGTATTAACACAGAAAGTATTGCTTTGACAACAGCCGTTTCCTCCATTAGGCTCTGCTTGATAAAACATGAGCTGGAGGATCTCGGCGCATAATCAGATTTGTTGTAAGCTTTCTCAGGCTCCTTGCAAGACACATTTCGAAAATACATTAAATTATTTTTTTCCGCAGCCTCATTTAAAATGTCTTGTTCCCTCAGACTTTCTTTGAAGTATTTCCCAGAGACGGAGATGATCTTCTGCAAGGTAATGAGATGGCTGCTCTGGTGTTGACTGATAAAGCCAGGCAAACAGAAAGAATCTTTTAGCAGGCTGATGAGAGTCACCAAACGATGACTCAAAGCCACGGCGTCAGAGAAGCCAAAGGACGTGAGCGTTACTTCTGCAATGATCCTGTAATCTGGACGGATTAGCACCACTGGTCTTATTACAAAACACAAACTCTCCGAGAAATTGGATGTGCATCCTTTGGAGGTGATGAGAGCACATCCGTAATTGGGGTTAGCAGGAATCTTTTTTCCTGCTAGGTCAATACTTAGGCAGCCGACATTTCCAGCAGCTGTTGTTTCTTTCTGCTCATCAGTCGCTCTTTGACTCAAACCACAGAAGGATTGGTGAATGTCTAATAGATGTTGTCCTACTGAGGAGAGCACCTCGCTTGTTAGTAAGTCCACACTGTCGAGCAGAAGCCACGCTCCAGTCTGTAGGGCACCAGATAACATCTGCTGGAGTCTAAGCAGTCTCATAGGTGGAGAACACTGTACGAGGACAACTTGTCTCCCCAGTGCTGTCCCAAGCTGAAGGACAGTCTTTGTCTTTCCGGACATGCACGGACCAGTCACATATCCACATCTGTAGCTCGTCAGAGCCAGGAGAATGCCCAGCACTGCCCTGTCTGTGGAAGGGGTGTGAACCATCACACAGTCCTCTGGACCAAAATACTCACAGCCGTATTGGAAGTTATAACCAAAAACATTCACCTGACACGGTGGATCATCACTGCCCTTCACAATCGGACTCTCTGGGCCTATATGATATTTCAACAAACTGAGCCACTCAAAGGACGACTCTGGCTGACACTGTACCTCCATGAGCTGTGAGAGCTGCCGAGCATGATTCATGGTAAGCTGGACTAAAGCACCTAAACACACCATTGTGTACTTAGAAATTGAAGGATGACTTTTAGCTGATTTAATCCTTATTGAAAGGCAAATGTTTTTCAGTTTTTTGGCATTGTTTTCCTTTAGGGTGCTGAGCTTCACGTCCAGCACTAGTTTCCTTTAGGGTGCTGAGCTTCACGTCGCTTTTTTCTCGGAATACTTGAAGAACATCACTGCACCACTTAGCCTCTTCAGCTAGCAGCACACACTGGAGAGGATACTCGGCCAACACATCCAGGACATGTTGAGTATCTTTTCGACCTCCATCTGGTTTTTCTCCAACAACAGGTCTATTGTTGCGTGATGCCTGGAACTTGTTCATTGCAGAATAACACTGCTTTAAAAGACGCCTTACGGTCAAGCTCAATGTCTTCTCAAATTCACTTAGCCAAACTGGCACATGGAGATTTTGTTTTATCGGAGATATGAAGTGAATGTGCTCCTCAAGGAGTGAAGAAAATCCCCAAACTTGTATCTGTCCACGTCCAAATTTGTCCCCATCAATCTTTTGTGCATTTCTTTTGATTTCATCTTTGAAGTCCAGGCTGTGAACGCCTTTAAAGCATTTCTGAACAAAAAACTGAAATATTGAAGGTGCTGGGTGACCGACACGTAGCTGAAATACTTCCTTGTCACTCAAAAACCACAATCGAGGAAACTGTTCACGTGGTGAATCCAGGGCGTCCGTCATCTGGCTGGAGATCATCTCCATTATTGACAGTCCATTGATAAGGACTGTGTAAAGATCATTACCACTAAATCTTTCACTTGCTCTGCTGAAGTCAATCAAGTTCAACACGTGGGGGTCAGTTGATAGGGTTTGCATTATCTCCTTAAATTCCATGTCAACAGGTTTGAACTCTTCGAGCTACGATAAACAAAGATAAAACATTGAGTCATAAATGAACTTCACCCAAAAAATATTGAAATAAATAAAATATTAAATAAATAAAGTATTGCAACTGTGGAAAACAGAAACATACCAGATTTCCATGTTGAGCAGCAAAAATTGTTCCATTAAACGTCGTTGTCAGAGAAGTCCACATTTGTTGGTAACTTTCAAATAAATCAAGTAGTTTTTCTAATAATGTTTAAAGACAAGAGGAAATAATTGAATTTTTTTTTGCATCTGGATACATACACTGTTTCTTAATGTGTACTGATTTTACTTTACCAAGATACTGCAGTGACTGAACCCAGTCTTCCATCTGCTCCCTAATGTCAAGACTGTACGGAGACTTCAACATCACAGAAAGACTCATCAGGTCATTCTCTATCTCAGCAAAGCAAGTTTCAAAACCTACAGTAAGAGGAAGAACATTACTGCAGTTTCTACCAACATGTAAAGACGTTCTTATTTTCTTGCCAATTTTTTAAATAAACTGATTTTATTTCTGCTGACTTGACTCACCAGTAATGATGAATCTCGACTCATTACAGGAGTGTTGGCTAGACGTTTGGAGTTCAATACCCTCCATGGACTTCTGTAATTCTGTTAATTCCGGTTGCTGCCAAACAGTCAACTCCAACAGTCTGGTTTTCCACCCTTTTCAACTGAGTGAAATCATCCAGCTCCAACAGTCTGGTTTTCCACCCTTTTTGAAGCTTAAGGAAGGTCTGCTCCATATTAAACTCTGCCTCAGCATCAGTGCATATCTGACAACACAAAATGCTTTAATGCATTATTTTGATAGTTACATTTTAGTTTTTACCATTTAGGTCAAATCATTTATAAATAGTTTGGTTTGATTAGATCACAAAATTCATCAAAAACTCATCAAATATTTTTCCTAGTACCTGTGTTATTAACTTCTGATGAACTTCAAGCTGTTTGGACATCAGCTCATTAACAGTTACTTCCTTCTCTGGGATCTCAGGGAGATTCAAACCTGCAAGACGTATATGTATAAATTATAAATACATTTGTTATAATTTGTTCTGCAGAGTATTTTAATCGTATATAGACAGACTGTCTGACCTTTAAAAATAGCTCTCCAGTGTTTAAGCCTGAGTGTGGGGCTCTGCAACTTGGCCATCACTGCAAGCTGATTGCTAAAGCTTTCCAGGTCCTCGAATGTTCCTTGCAGCACTGCATCATGGGTTGGTGTGATACCTGTTATGGACCGAGCCTGTTCCTTCCACGTAACAATTTTCTGCTGAGCTTCAGACACTTGTACCTGAAAAGATGATAACCATGAAAATATTTATAATAAAATGCTGTAAAATGAATCATTTCAAAATGCTGTATAGATAAGAGTATGTCATTTTTTTTACATTGTCATTTCCATATTTGTGTATGCATATATGTTTTGGTAAATTAGAAAAGGTCTTGTCAGGTTACCTTACTGAAAAGCAGCAGTTTCCACTCCTCACACCATGTGGTGAATGCAGCTCTCAGTTTCCACAAATCGTTACAGGCTGTTACTTTTTCAATGTTTGCTGTAAAAATGTTCAAATCCACTGCACATCCTAAAATGACACAACATGGTCATTAATGTTTAGAGTTAGTTTGCAGTTCAATTTAATATAAAAAAATCGTTCAAATGTGTTTAGTTTAAAGTTTTTCCATAGTTTTACCTTGTAGGTTTTGTTTTTCTGTGTTCAGTCGCTTCAGCTTCGCATACAGTTTGTTACCATGTGAACACATCTCGTTAAGTTTGGAGACCATTTCTTCTGCATTCTGAGCCGGGTCGAGGAAGGGTCCAGAAGAGGCTTCGGAGAGGACCTTTTCAAGGTCACGGCCCATAAGTGAGACCATTGTGTCCACTGCATTAACAGCTGAGGGCCGACGGTGACTAATGACTGACTCAGCTTCATTCAACAACGGTCTGAAGCTCTCCCACAGGCGCAGCATCTGAAATTAAAACACAAAGACAGGTGAGGAGTTTGGATCAAATGGAGTTATTAATGAAGTAGCTTTAAGTGCAAACCTTGTCTTCCACAATCTGCTCCTGCTCTGTCATCTCTCTATAATATCTGCAAACAACGTCCTGAAGGGAGTGAATGTACTCCAGCCTCGTCTGCATGTCAGGCACCATTTCCAGAGACTGTGAAAGCTGCAGAGGAAACATTTTAAAATTTCCCTGATGAAGATTGTATTTTAAATTTAAACAAAATAAAAGTATTGTGTGTTGTGGCTTTAACAAATATGTGTTAAATATGTTTTAACAGTGGTTTATGTATTGGATGTTCCTATTGATAATTAATTTATAGTTCATGTGTGAACAAGACAGGAGTCTGTGACAACGTCACGTCTCCGCTGAATCAGCATATATTAAGATTAAGACAGAGAGATTTGAAGAAGTTTGATGATTCAACACTTTGACTCATCTTTGATTGGAGGACGTGACTATTCTGCATGTACGCCTGCATGAATATAGAACAATATGCATCTTTGCAATGGCATGAACCAGAAGTGTGATTAGATCCTGTATGTGCGGTACCTTTTGTGCATATGTTGATAGATCATGTGAGTCCTGTGGATCTGCTGTGAGTTCATCTTTCATCATTTCCAAGTCTGATATAAAACTCTTTGAGTGCAGCTTAATCTGCATGACAAGCTGTTCAAGCAACGCCTTTTCAATGACCTTCAGCTGGTGCTCTGAAAAAAACAAAACAAAAAAAAACATATAATGTAAATGTTAAAGTAAAATGTTTAAAACCTCTTCAATGACCACAGAGTCACAGTATTCCAAGTTGGTAACCTGTACCTAGAGTTTCTTTAGTGTTGGTGCAGTATATAATGAACATCTGTGTGGAGGTAGAGACGGTCGAGGGAATGGTGTTGATTCTTTCAATCCATTCACAGATCTTTATAATGTCCTCTTCATACTGTGAAGCTGGCTGACGTGTCATTGATTCCACAGAGGCGGAGGAACTCCATTGATTGATAAATGCATTAATGTGCACCAACCATTTGTAGTCCTCAAACATGCGCTGTGTGTCTGCTTCAGCTGCCTGTCCCCATAGAAAATGAGAACCCATTCAAGTCAGTGGTCATCTACTGGACAATTACACCACCTTTAACCACTGGATTCCTGGGAGAATTTCACCTTCATGATCTTGACCAGCTCAGTCTCAGCGTGTTTTGAAGGGTCACTGTTTCTTATCTGCCACTCTAATTGCTTCTTAGAGAGAGGATAGTAGCAGCTTTGCACCATGTTGCCCTGCATCATTAGCTGGTTTTGCTTCGGCAGCAGCAGCAGGTGAGCTGAGACGTCTCTGAGCATCTGCCAGCTGCAAAGATTTCTGCAGCCAGATGATCCATCAGAATTGGTGAGTACCTCTAGGAATTAAAACAGATTCACAATCACTGTAGTTAAAATAATTCGGTAAATCATTATGTGCAGCTGATGTTTGAGATGCACGCACTATTCCATAGTTAAATAAAAAAAGTTTTAGAACTTACCTTTCATAGTAAGAGGCTCAACACCACTGGGGTCCTCAGAAAAATCAAGTGAAGAATCAGAGCTGCTCATTTCTAAGAATAATCCACATCTTTCGCATGTCTGAAAAAAACAAAAGTTCAGAATGGAATCACAAATCATGTGGATGGGATTTCTTCGTGCATCTTAGGGCACATCAAAATTGCCATTTTACCTCAACTATGTAATCAGCAGCAGTCAGTAAAACTTCACTCACTGCCTCTTTGAACAGATGTACTGGTGGCTCCACTGTCAACAGATTCTCAGCACTGAAACGCAGCTCAGTTTGGAAAAAACTGCACTGCTGCGGTTTCTCTCTCTAATAAAACATATACATTAATTTATTTAGTTTTTAAAAATGACAGAAAGCTTAATTTACTAGTTTACTTCAAAAAGCAAAGTACTGGGCAGCAATATATAATATATATATACTGTATATAATATATTACAAATTAAATGCATGTGTCACCTCCAGAACACATTTCAGGAAAGAGACGACATCTTGACTGATGATTGTGGCCAAGCTTTGCAACGTCATGTGATTGATAAGACTCCCAAAGTTCCCCAACTTCTGCAGGGTGCTTTTGGAGTGAACAAATTGCCTCTTTAGCTGCTGCTGGTGAGCCAGCTGGAGGTGAATAGGTTTATAGCACTTAGTTGGGATTTTAGCATATTGCACATGCACCTGCAGCTCCTGGTGTTCCTTGAAGACGTCCTCCCTGACCTGTAAAATAAGAGCAGTGACAAGAGAAACAGTAAGACTCATGGAAAACAACAGCATACGCTCTCTGTAGAATTCCAAAAAGTATTTATAAAGTATTTATTTTAGTATTTATGACCCTTTTAGAAAAAGTACAAGACTGACAAGCTGACCACAGATCAGCCAAAAGTAGACAATAAAACTTTTTAGGCCAAAACACTTCAATTTTGGGAAAGAAATTCAGATCCAGACACATTTTTAAAGATCACAAAATATTTTCCAAAAAAATCACACTTTGCACACAATAGCATACCTCAATTAAGATGGCAGTGCGATAAAATCACACTTTACACACAATAGAATACCTCAATTAAGATGGCAGTGCGATACTCTGAAAACTTCTTAAGAATTTGGAGACATTCTTTACTTTTGACATTAAGTGCTGCCCTGAAGTCAGGCAGTGTGTAGCTCTGAAATTCTCCCAAGGGAAGCAAGTGAGTCTCCTTGACGTCTTCTATAAAACTGTAACTCAAAGACAGGGTTAGGATGAAAACATCAAATCAAATTATAACCCAGAGAAAACATTTCATTTCTATAAGTAACAGTTAAGTCATTTCAGTAAACGTAAAACTAATTTTAGTGTCTTTAAAAAAATAAATTAAATTAACAGCAACATTTTTGTTGGACTAACCTGGAAAACAAATAAAGAGCATCTCTAAACCGAGGCACACTGATCAGCAGCTGGTCTCGCAGAGCCTCACACCGGCGATGAAAACGTATCTTCTGCACACATCTCTGCCACCTTGTAGACATTAAAGTGAGAACATCAAATACAGATTAAAAACACATCATAAAAAAGGCAATTCAGACAGAAAGTCTGTTAAGGGCAAGTCTGGTATCTACTATTTCTGTGAGATTAATGTATTTTGTACATGTTTCAGCTACTGACTTTTTCTGTGAGATTGATGTATTTTGTACATGTTTCAGCTACTGTTCATGTTAACATTTTCATTGTGAACTCACCAGGTGAAAGATTTTCGCAGCCTGAAGTTTCTAAAGAATGTAATTTCCTGCAAGGCTGTCCACAACATTGACTCTTTGTGCCACTCTGCTAGACTGACAAATCCACCACAACCTTTTTCTGTCACATATAGGACAGAATAGCGGGAGAAGATGTAGTGCTCAGAGCCTGCCTTACTGGAATCAACCACCTGCAGGTCATAGGGTCTAAATACAAGAAGATGCCAGTGACATACTTTCCTTCAAATACTGTTCAGACCATTGTCAGGAGACAGGAGACATTACACCAATACCTGTAAATGTTGTCGTGCACAGCTTTGAGAAAATAATGCTGAAAATCCGCCTGCTGCCTTTTCTGGGCAAACATTTGAAGGACATCTGTTCCAGTGAGGAGCATCTTAGTCCGATTTGTCACTTTCTCTCCTTTCAAAGAAGATAGCTTATCCTGGCCAGTCGAATCTCCTCTGAGTGCATGATTCTTCATAAGACTAAAACATTAAAAACAGAACATGATTAAAAAATAAAATATGGGTAGATACGCATTGCAATCTGTATTATTTCCTGCATGCACAGTCTTAAAACTTTCATAATTTTTATTTCTTTTGGCCCCTCTGCCATACACTAACACTAAAGGCCTCCAGAATAAACACATCTAATAGGTATTGACTTTAATCTTATATGTTTATTTGTCAAGGACAGTGTTGAAGAATTAAATACAAAATAATTGCAAAGAGCTGGTCACCAAAGCCATTTGGATGAGCATATATGAGTTGAAGGACGTATTTAAGGTAAAAGTACTGAATGTGTGGTTAATTCTGAAGACTGTGTTGTTATTATTTGGATACAAAGGGCTGGTTCATAAAGTAAAATGTTTTTCTGCACATAAGGTTAATGACAAAGTTTTATTGCCTATGATTTGTCAGTCGCTCTGTGCAGTTTTAAATATTGGCTGGGAGAAACAGTGGATTTTATTTCTGACAACTTAGGGAAGCATCTGTAATGTTACCTTCTGGCTGTCACCTCAGCAGCGGACGTGACAAGTGAATCTGTCCCTAGTGCTGAAACCTTGGATCCAGGTTCCTGAGACCATGTTGTGTTAGTTATGACAGTCCTAGATCCAACTTGAGAACTCAGTGGAGGAAGCTGCAGCACTGATGTTCTTTCAGAGGCAACATCATGGATGACTTTGGGATGCCTGACCACTGACGTGGGCAGGCAGTCCGTTGAGAGAGACGACTTTGGACACAATGTGGGTAAAGTCACTTCATGGGTGTTGGTATTCTTATTCCTCCGATGTTCAGACCGAGTCCTGACTTTACCACGTATTTGATCATTAGATCTTTCCACTGATGAGGCGGCAGACATGCTGCTAATCTATTTTTAAATACCATATGTTTACTCTGTATCCTTTAGAGATAGATTTGCTGGGGTGATCTGAAAAAACACACACAAAAAATTAGTCTATATGGACATGACAGTACAATTGCTTTATTTTGAATTTTAGGGTCAACAAAAAACAAAGAGAATTTAACATAAAGGAGTGGTACAAGGCGATATTTCTTCTCAGTACTTACCTTTCTAGAAAGGTCAAGTCCCTTTCTCATTTTGATTTTAGGAAAGTCTCCAAGATTCCCTGTGAATTTGCTGCATATCTGATAAAATAAATAAATAAATAAATAAATCAATTCTGGGCCGGAAATGTGTCAGGGTCCATTGCTACACCAAAACCACAGATTTGACATTTATTCAAATGTTTTTAACAAAATACCAACAAGAATAATGAGTAGAACAACTACTACTATGAGAAAGACAACTTTTTTAACTTAAATTCAAACTTTCCTGATTTATTAGCTTTTAAACATAGAATTGCTTGAAACTTAGTAGTTTTATACTTCTATACCAAGCAGGCAATATACAAAAAAGTTTTTTGTAGACTAAAAGTCATTTAATTCAACGACGTTTAATTTTACTCCATATGTAGCTTCAAAAATGACACAAATAAATAAAATGTTGTTCATGTTTAAACATTCTAAGCAGAGAAGGGAGAACGGTCTTACCTGTTGTTAAGAAGTTTTGACTGAAACCACGGCGACGACTCGTTGCTACGATATACGACCAGAAACTTCTGTCTGTGGTGAAGGTCGAATGAATGAAAACGTCCGCTCCAGACGAAATCGTCTAACTTTAACTGGTGTATTTTTGTTCATTTTACGACAATAACTACAAACAGTCACACTTTCATTTAGATTTTTTTTAGAACCAGCGCGTAACCCTAAGTAAAGTCTACAAAAATCAACGTTTAACGGTCACAGCCGTCGATATATTGTTCTTAATAAATTACGTTTGTCAACGTACTTACTTACTTGGTAATGGTTGTTTTGGTGTCAAAACCAAGTAAAACGGTGGTTCTGTACTCAACCTAATCTCAGCATTTCTCTCTGAAACACTCGCCTCTACGATCGTTATTATTTCCTCCTAATGAACCCAAATGGTGTTCGAAACATTTAAGTTCTTTATTTAGTAGTACTCTAAACTTTACTCTCTTACATTAGTACCGTATTATAAGCTATGGAACGTTTTAGTTTGTATCGTAACACGCGCAGAACACTACTGGACTTATTGAAATATGTGTCACAACACAGCAGAAGGAAAAGCAAATGTGTTTTAAACTCATCACAAATAATAATAAAAAATCATCATAAACAAAATGGCCGTCATCGTTTCACCCAGAGCGGCTCCAACGTCACGTCGTCCATATTAATAAACAGTGATCAGAAACGGAAGAAAGGTTTGAATAGTAAAACATCATTTTAAAAGAATAATTTGTGATCTAATTCCCCACCTTTAAATCACAAATTATAAAGTGTAAACATACTCATCAAATAGTCCAGTATGACCATGTCCATGAAATCCACCAGTCTTGTTCCTTTATTGTACGGTGCGATCTGTTTCACACTGGAACAGTAGTTAGGATCTGTCTCCCAACTATGACACAAAAAGACATAATACTGTGGTTTAATCATATTTAAATATGGACAAATGTGGATTATATGACATGTTACTTCCATGTGTTTATATAAACACCCGTCATCTGATGACTTTTCAAGTTTTTACATTACTTATAAACAGACTTTGTAGCATTTAAAAAAACTGTGCTGTGAAAACCTCACAGAGATACACAACATAACAGAGTGAACCAGACTTTATTCCCACTAACTTTGCTTTTTTGCTGCGGCTGTAGGACCGTCTCCACGGGGATCTCCAGCTCCTCCGGGTGGCCAGGGACAGGTCTGGCAGCATGACAGCCAAAGAGACCTCCAGTTTCTTGGGACGACCACACACAGCATGCTCTGTAGAACAGTAGTAAGAGCACTGGCCATAGAAACACACATTTCCCACTAGGGGGAGTTGGTGGAGCATAAAGGAGAGGGAGAAAGAAGCAGAGGAAAAGGAACGATGTTCAAAGAGAATAGTAACTATAACTAATGGACAGGTATCAATGGTTTTCTGGCTTCAATACCAGGGGAGGTAAAGAATGTTTTGGCCAGCTTGCGGTCAGTGGTGATATCTTTGATCTCCTTTATCACATCCACCAGCCTCCCCACGACAGGGGGAACTCTCCTGTAGCCCAAAATCCTAGAGAGCAGGTGAAAGAAGGCCGATATAATACAGAGTTCTACAACACCTCCTCAGTTAATGGCCACCTAGACCACTGTTTTGCTCGCTGTCTTTGTGAATAGATGATTTGAGAAAGAACTGAAGTTCAACCTGTCAAGGTGGAAAGCAGCGATCTCGGCATTGTGCCTCTCCAAGTCAGAGAAGTAGTAGAGGTTGTAGTTGGTTTCATCATCTCTCTCCTGCCTGCCAGGCACAGGCAAAGTCCAGTAAGACCAGAAACACTGTACACTATACAGTCTACATTAACTATACATGTTTGTGTAAGACGAGGTGAGGTGAGGCATCAAACACATATATTTCTTTACATCTCTTTTTTATATTTTGACTTACTAATTATTATTATTTTTTAAAATTGAGCACTGGGTTGATGCTGATATAATTAAAAATTATTATTGTTATTATTAGAGGATTTTCAAATTTTTATTTCTGGAATTTGCATTAATATTTATATAACATTTTACTAATCCTTCAATACTTACATCATATTACATCAAATAAATAAATATTTAAAAATTATCATAAATAGATAAATATACATAAAAAATAGTGCACCTTTAAGGGTGTAGATTGGACCTGATATCCAGACTAAAATACAGAAAAAATTTTAAAAAATATAAAGATAATTTTTGCTTGTTCCTGGACTGAACTACAGAACAATTTCTGTTTCTGATTTGTCGGTTATCTCTCTGCCTCAAGCCTGGTTTTAATCGGCAGTTTCTCCACACCTGAACTCTGTCGTTAATCTCTTCTTCGTCCTTAGTATACACGTTAATATTTATTAGTATTGACTAGTTGAGAGGATTAACTTCCTTGTGTTTTCACTCCCTCCTCTCTGTCACTCACTTCATGGGCTTCAACATGGCTTGTCCGTAGTTGGGGTATGACATCACCAGCTTCAATTGTGTCCCTCCAGGTTTCTGCACTAGAAAAACAATAACGGGAAGAGTTACCATAACAACCACCACCACACACACAAAGGCTGACAGACTCACACAAATACAAACGCAATACATCAGAATGACACACACACAGCACCATCCAAAACAAAGAACCGAAAGAAAAGGAAAAAAAACCCATTATGTTCTATTTTCTATTGTTTTGATTGTGTGTGTTTTTTTTCATTCTTTACACATCCTCACCGTTGTAGATAAAACCTGTATATTTCCAGATTATTCCCAGTAAGGACCCAACTGACCATTAGGTCCATTTCCTCTGATGGAGAATCAGGATTTCTCCCTGCAGTCAGATACACAGGGTTTACATCTCTTCCTAACAGCCAACACTGCAGATTTTCACCCCTTTGCATTTTTGATTCAGCATTGATTTCACATTAGACGCCTCTTCTGGAGCAACACCCTCCCCATTCATCTTGGACCCAGCACCTTCAGTGTATTTATGCACAGCCTGTGGCATCGTATATTAATGAATCGGAGAACGTGTCTCTGACTAAACAGAAACGGTTCAGTTCCAGAATCTACTCTTTTAGAAGAAGAACTCCCGCTCCACCACTCTGTAGTCGTATTTTTATACTACACGATTCAGACAGACCACAATGAAGAGAGATTGAATGAGATTGAACAAGATTAATCAAAGCCTTTTTCTTTTTCCTTCCTGGTGATTGAAGCTGATGATTATAATACAGAGCCAAAACCAAAAAAAAAAAAAAAGTACTTTGGCATAGTTTGCTTTAACTTTGTGTGTGTGTATATATATATATATACGTACATAAAAGTTAAATGAAAATAATATTTTGTGATGGGATAATAACAAATAACGTATGCCTTGAAATGTAGTCATTTAGTAAAAATGATCATAAGCATATCTACATGGGAAAAAGGAAGAAAAACATAGCTTTTCCAACTGTAGCCTTAGCATCACATACTGTATAACAGGTCAGAACCGACACTGTTGTACGAGCTGTTTGTTTGTGTTGTTGTGACACCGTCACGACTGCGGTGATGATGTAAACTGTGTGTCAGACCTGCACTGACGATGCGCTCTGTGGCGAGCTGCTGCATCACTGCCTCCACACTGGGGTCACGCTGACCATACAGCTGCCAGCGGGAGATGCCCAGGTGGAAGCTCAGCCACGGAGGGTGAGTGCTGCTGCTGCTGTTCCACTGCTCACCCTCGTAGTCTTCCCGGCTGGCACTGATCCTGCCGACAGGAGAGTGAGACGGAGGAGGAAATGTGATCAGGTGAAGGATTTTCAACCATAATGTACTACAGAAATACCGCTTGGTTTATTCATGGAATAAACTGATCGATAACACATTAAATATCAAACATTTTTAACACAGTTCAGATTCTCAAAGTGGGAAAAATGAAGGACCGTGTTTTCAACATATTCTGAATCGAACAACCTCCAATTTTACTCTGTGAGTCTGTAAACATAAAAAGCTAGAGGTTAAAAAAACACATCAACTGAATTTGAATACATAAAGTTCAACAGTAAGAGTTGGCCTTAAAGTCAACTGTTCTGGTTAGAGTATCTGCTGATAAAAAAAATTCTGATTCTGGTTTCAAAAGAAAGCTTCTCACATGAAAAATAATAAAATTCTGATTAAAAAACTTCTCAGTAACATGAAAAATAATAAAATTCTGATTAAAAAGGAAAAAGATATTTTTATTTTGTCATCTATTACCTCAAGGATGGGGAACACGATGCTACTGATGCTAATTTAAAAAAATCTGGGGTAATGAGAACAATAATCCCAACCTACTTTTACCTACTCTGCCTTTATATTTGACATTCTTGTACATTAATATTAGTATAAAACTAGGTTTTCATCTTGAGTTGAATAAATGCTGTCCTTATAGAGATGAACCTGAAAGATACGGACATGAACTACGAAAAAATATCTTTCTTTTTTTTTTGTTCAGCATCAGCATAAAACGCACCACATCTGAGAGCTCTCCCCGACAGCCTTGACCTTTGGTTTCACTTTCAGCAGCACGTCTTCTTCAGAGATGGGGGGGCGGGGCAAATTGTACAGAGGATGTTCAAACAGCGCCTTCAGTTTCTCTAACCCAGACTCCCAAGGTTCAACTCTGTTGCCGTTGTCAACGTTATGGCCTATTCTGCCGTGGACTCCGGGTGAAGCAGAAGCTGTTAGCACACGACCTTTGCCCTCATTACTGCCCTCTTTATTGGAAGCATCTTCTTGAGCAGCACCGGGAGACGCCCCCGCTGGTTTGGAGAGAGCGCACGGCAGGTGATTTGACGTGTGCACCTTGGTCATCGGTGGGGAGTCACACGGCTGGTGGTAAATGGAGAGAGAGAGCAGAGCCAGGAAGAGATGGAGGAAAATAGCGATGCAGGCCAAGGACAGACAGATTGTCCTGGTGCGACGCCGCTTACACAACATCACCCTCGTGAGTGACGAGTGCAGGTGGAGGTCAGGAGAGAAGAAGAACACGGAAGAGAGAGGAAAATATGAAATAACTGGATCGGGTGTGAAAGGTTACAGAAACGTCAATCTTTGTTTAGCTAAACAACTACATCAGTCCGACTCAAATCTTATTAAACTCTCCGGTCTTTTACTGAAGCCGTCAGTGAAATCTTTGCACAAAAGGACAAGAAGACAAGAATAAAGAGACTTACGGTCAATGTTCCTCCCCAATTCAATCGCTCCGACACTTAATTATTGGCTTTTGTTGTAGCCGAGCGAAGAATTTTAATCTGCCCCAGCAATCCAGGCAGCCTGCACCAAGTTGTTTGAACATTTCTGTCCTTCTGCTGGTGGAGTGCAGCGCAGAGATGTCAGGTCGGCGTGATCTTGACATGGATCAATCTGTTTATCTTCTATTTTGACTTTGAAAACCAGGGAATCTGCTTCGCGGTGTTCTGTTGACTCACTCTGAGGGTTTGTTTTGGAATTATAAGAGAAATGGCAACAAAATCAAAGTCCACTCTGATGAGTGAGTCTGACTGGGTAAAGTTGGTGTTTGTCAAAGTTCACCTTCACAGCTCTGTGGGTCCAAGAAAGGTTTCTGTTAAATAATATAATATAATATAATATAATATAATATAATATAATATAATATAATATAATATAATATAATATAATATAATATAATATAATATAATATAATATCATAACATAACATAACATAACATAACATAACATAACATAACATAATATAATATAACATACATTCGCTCTGGCTCCCCCTGCTGTTTGTGACTCTGCTGTATAAACTGCAGTCTGTTTGAGGTTTAAAGATGAAACATGCTTCATAACCAAGTGGTGTTTCATATGTTTCACGTTCTCAGTGTATTTCCACTGTGTGACTGTGAAGCTCCGACCTCCTGTAGCGTCCTGCAGTACAGACGGCTCCTGCGAATATGGGTCCTTTAAATGTGTGTGTGTGTGTGTGTGTGTGGGTGTGTGTGTATTCAGGCCATGCAAACTGAGAGACTGAACGCATGTCTCACAGCACTGCCCCCGTTACTGAGTGATGTATTTATTTATTACAAATATGTGAGACATATCGGATGGCAGATGGCGAGATGGACCCCTTTAGTATATATAAATATGTATGTGTGCGTGTTTTTAATTCAACTTTATTCATACAGTAATTAACTTAACTAATCAAATAACACAGTATTATTCATATTCAACAAAAAAAAAACAAAAACAAAAAAAACAAAAACAAATGGACCACAAACAATACCTATGTGGACCAGCCAGGGGGTTGCCATCCCCGTGTTGAACACCTCTGTTGACACTCATCTCTAATAGCTGGGCTGATTATGGAGTAATTTAAGGCAGGAAGCTTCAACCTTTCTGCTGTGTGGGAACACTCACGTGTACTTCTTCATCAGTACTGCTACTGTACCGTGAATATTTATGAGTATCGACACGTGCTGCATTCAAAGGAAGCAAAACGAAGTCGGTCTTGTTTTGCTTTCTTTCAAGGCTGTTGGCGGTGAGAGCAACCGGATTATGTTGTCACATTAGTGTGTGTCGCGTTAACCTTCCACAGACATTAGAGCCGACGACTGGAGTCACCGTGAACAGACAGGATAGAACCGCACAGATGAAGAGAAATATGACGACAGAGAAGAGATGAAGGACAGAGGGCGCTGTGGAGCACGGGTTTTTAAATACACTTTCAATAGAAATTAGAATTTGATGCATTGATGAGTTTGTATTTAGCTTCGTTGTATTTCAAAAGACTTGGACATTTTTGTATTTTTGTTTTAATAGAACATAATAATTTATTTATTATAATTCTAATATAATAATAAAATAATTTTACTTTTACCAAAACGGTTGAATTCTTAACAATAAAACCAATATGCCAACAAAATTCTAATATAATAATAAAATCATTTTACTTTTACCAGAACGGTTAAATATTAACAATAAAACCAATATGCTAACAATTGATGATTGTAATATAATGTTATTATTATTGGGGAAAAAAAATCATTATCATGTTATAAACTATTTTTTTTCCATTTTATATAAAGACAAATATTCGATCGACTGTTTGACCTCACGGCTGTGACTCAATTTAATTTTCTTCTGCTGTTTGACGATGTAAAAGTCACATGTTCTTATTGTAATTCAGTTTTTAATGAAGTTAAAGATTTCACTGTGAGCCTAAACCACGGCTGTGATAAAAAAAAAAAAAAACAAAATAAAAAAAGACAGATTTGACAGGTGAAGCCTTTGACTTATCTTCCACTTTTTTCCTGACTTTTCTGACTAAAAGCAGACAAAAATGACTCATCCGCCTCCATCTGTGACTTTGACTTTTTCCCATCTCTGCTCTCACTCATGTATTATAAACCAGCTGTCTCACACAGATCGCTCCTCTTTTATCCTCCCTGCCTTGTTGCCTCCGCTCTGCTCCACTTTCCAAATACTCCGTCTTCGTATTAATTGCGGACGGTCGAGGACGGCTGCTGAAGATGATGTAAAGAAAACGACGCAGGCACAAAGAAATAAAAACAAAAAAAGATCACTCCAATTCTCCTCTGTGTCCTGTCCTCTTTTCTCTCTCCTACTTTAGAAACTGTTAAACCTATAAACTTTTATCCTCAAAACTCTCAGAGAGAGACTTCAGTTGCTCATCCAACGACTGAATTTGCTGAGATTTGCGCCCCACAGCTTCAGCCACCTGTGGAGTCTTTCATTCTGTGTTTAACACTTTGATAAAATCACACACACACAACTGCACAGATGAAAACACACACAGACACACACAGACCTTCCACCTGTTGTTTCAGGCGGTTGGTCGGTTGCTAAGATACAGCGACGAGTTGGTTAGAAACACAGCAGCTCAACAACTGTGTGTGTGAATCTTTACATCAACAAAACACACCCCACAGCTCCAGCAGAGAAGACGAGTCAGTCACATATCATTACTGACAAGATTGAAATGTATATTATTTAATAAAATAAAACAATAGGTTGTAGAGATATGAATAAAATTCAAGCTATGATTGGTTTTAATCTTAAAGGACGAGTGGACTAGATGGAGAATATGGATGAATGGATGGATGGATGGATGGATGAATGGATGGATGAATGGATGTGGATGGATGGATGAATGGATGAATGATGGATGGATGAATGGCTGATGGATAAATGGATGGATGAATGGATCCAAAATTCCTCAGAATCTATTACACTGTGCAAAGCCAAATGATTTGGTTTTCAGGTTACGCATCACAGATAACCTCACGAAGTGACGTACGATACGGACCTTTTAGATTCTTTGTCACCCTAACCTGCTCTCTCTCTCTCTCCACTCTACTCATCTTTCCTTCTGTACCACTTTGCTCTTTCTTCCTCAGTTCTGTCACACAACACTTCCTCCCATGTCTCCTTTCCTGCTCTCGACAACAACCTCGTCTCCCGCTTCAATGCTTATCCTACAGACGACCAATCACATCGATTCTCGTCTGTGTTTTCCCACAGGTTCGGTAATTTGCAGACATGCTCTAACAGCAGGACTACGACCTTCCTTCCTGTGTGTGAGAGAGAGAGAGAGAGAGTGGTTGAGTGGAGATGTGACTGAGTGTGTGGCTCTGTGGCTCTTTGTATGAATTTTTAATGACACTGAGGAGTCACGGTGAGAGGGAGGAGACCTACAGAGGGGGATTATGTTGTCACATTAGTGTGTCGCGTTAACCTTCCACAGACATTAGAGCCGACGACTGGAGTCACCGTGAACAGACAGGATAGAACCGCACAGATGAAGAGAAATATGACGACAGAGAAGAGATGAAGGACAGAGGGCGCTGTGGAGCACGGGTTTTTAAATACACTTTCAATAGAAATTAGAATTTGATGCATTGATGAGTTTGTATTTAGCTTCGTTGTATTTCAAAAGACTTGGACATTTTTGTATTTTTGTTTTAATAGAACATAATAATTTATTTATTATAATTCTAATATAATAATAAAATAATTTTACTTTTACCAAAACGGTTGAATTCTTAACAATAAAACCAATATGCCAACAATTGATGATTGTAATATAATGTTATTATTA